ATGGTGGGGCCAGGATCTGAACCTAAGTCTGTCTGGCCATAAGGCTTCTGTTCTTTCCGTGATACACACCGTCCTGCCTCTTCTATGGCAATGATAGCAGCCCAGGCCTCAGAGAAGTGGATGTTGCTTAAGAGTACGAGCTGGTTATGTGTGGGCGGGGCATTCTGTGGTTCTTTCTTTGGCTTGTCGATTCATTCTACAAATACATATTTATTTATAGCCAGGAAGTAGGAAGAGAGTGTAAGTCAGGTGGGGTGAGAAAGGACACGTGTGGGGAGGAGGGCAATGGGACATGGGAGGGGGTGAGGCTAGAGAAAATAGAGTAAAGAGGAGCAATTGTAAGCTCAAATGCAGGATGGGGGCTGCTCACCCTGTCTGCTCTGAGGTGCAGTACTGAATGGGTCTCTGAGTCATGCCAGAAGAGAATCTCTGGAGCAATACTAACAGGCAAACTGCAACCAGTGGTGGCACTCAGGACCAGACGCCCTTCAAACAGCTTGTTATATGTACACACACACGCGCGCGTGCGCACACGCACACACACACACACACACACACACATACACACACACAGAGGAACCATAAATACAGCGACAATTTTTAGAGAGATTTTTGCTATAGGGTGCATGTGCTTGCTGGAGAGACAGAGACAGAAAGCGAGAAGTCACCCCCCAGGGAGGATGGCCATGCCACAAACCCCCCTCCTCCATTCTCCTCTCAGGATTTTGGGCCCGCCTACACACACACCTGGCATGAATTTAAGTTACCAGGTCAGGGACTCGAACTGCAATTGACTACGTGGGTGTCCAGTGAAATAACCATTACACTATCTGCTGGTCCCCTGCAACAGGTATTTTTAGATAAGCACGGCAGAATATCTGTCACTACACAATGGAAGTTTAAATTAAAAAAAAAATTCTTCCATGAGTGAGAGAGACACACAGAGAGAGAGAGACAGAGAGACAGCACCTCAAACAGGGTCTTGATACCAAAATCTACCCCTAGCCTCAGCTAGATCAGATCATGAGCACGCACATGCCCGGTGTACTCAGGGAGGTCCCGGGATATGAACCGGGAATCTTCCCATGTAGGCCAGTCTTTGTGGAACATCTTGTTTTACTGCTGCACCACTGTCCATCCCCAACCATGGAAATCTTCTAAAATGGAAGGCTATGTCTTGATTCTAGTAGTGTTGTTAGTGCTCATCATGTGAAAGGACCCAACACTGATATTTGTATGCATGAAGTGGAAGGTTTGTTAACAAGAAAAGAGAAAAGGAAGAGAAAAAAATCTCATTTTATAGTCACGATTTAGTTGTGTGTGTGTATTAGGGCTTTAAAGATGATATAAAATGATATGATGTTATAGAAAGAAATGTTAGGGGATGAACAGGTGGCAGGGAGGTTAAGGCAGCTGGATCCCGTAAGGCTGACTCTGCTGTTTGAGTCATGGACCCGGTGTCTCAAAAACACGCTGAGCATACATGTGTGCGTGCCCAAAAATCTCAAGAAGAGACTGGAGGAGAAAGGATTGCAGCATGGCCACCACCCCTGGGTGGGAGGAGTTCACCTCTGGCCTCCCCTACCCCTGTTTCTCTCCAGTGAGCACACATGCCCGATCGCAAACAGAGGGGGAAAAAAAGAAAAAAAAATGAAGGAAGTGCTATGGAATGTTGGTCCATATCAATTTTCCTTATTTGTTGTTTAGTGGTCATTTTTAGATTGCAATAAAACAAGCCTGACTTACCTAGCCACTTAATCCCAAAGGGAATGTGACACAGAGCAGGGAGGGGCCGAGCTCAGGAATGTGTTGCCCTGACACACCAATTCCAGGACTCCTCAGGCTTCACCTGCACCTGAGCTATGGACGAAATATGTTTGGGTGCCACAGAGGCTATTTTTAACTGCTCCACAATCAGAAGGTTGGCAGCTGGGGTGACCATGGTATTCCCAAGGGCGTCGCATGTACACAAGCTTGGGAATCCAGAGAACTGATGAGTCCACAGGAAGTTCCTCTCCCTTCCATACCAGCTGTGCACAATACCAGCACACCCTCCAGGATTCAAAGGGGAGAACCGTAGGCTTCCTAAGGAATAAACTGATGATTATAATTAGCATGAGTGCTAGGGAACAACAGATGCTTTCTAAGGACATACTTCCCTCTACAAATTCATTCTAACATCTCTCTCCCATAAGAGAACTACCTAGTGATGTGTTTATCCTTTCAAATTTTTGATTGAAAGGTGCCACAAAAGTGTCAAGTATAATTATAGTTATGTAGCTTTTAGTTTTATATCATGCAGGACCCAAATACTGTAAAGGAGAAATAGTTTTTGACCAACACATGTGTTGGTCAAGACATCAACAGAAAACTGTCTCAGGAAGAGCTTTGACAGTCTCTTCTGTTCTAATCCCAAATATTGTCACCCTTGAGAAATGTTTATCAAGCTTAGGAAAACCTAGGTTGTTAAGATAGGTATTCTCCCCAACAGTGTGGTAGATAAGGAGAGGTCACCTTCAGTCTTTTCTTGTAGAGGGGACTTTAAAAAGTTTACACAAAAAATGGAATTAAAGTATGGGTTTATTTTGGTGCAAAAATGTTTATAGGTAGTTTTTTCATAATACATATTTTCTATAAACTTTTTGAAGACCACTTGTACTTCCTTTTACATTTGGAAGGCAAGAATCATACTAGTGGAAATAGACCTTGTATCTTCCTTTTAAAAAGAATGGTTAATTTAATTTAATTTTATTTATTCATTCATTTTAATTTGACCAGAGAGAAACACAAAGAGAGAGAGGGAAACTGAGAAAGTAAGCCACCAGGTCCAGGACTCTAACCATGGTTGGCCACGTGGGAATGTCCAGTGCCTTAACCACCACGCCACCTGCCCGTCCCTCTTTTTTTTTTTTTTTTTTATTTTATTTAACTTTATTTTTGGGATTTTTGCTATAGGGTCCATGTACTTGCTGGAGAGAGATAGAGTGAGAAATCTCCTCTGGGGGGATGGCCACACCACAATCCCTTTTCCTCCATTTTCTTCTCGGGATTTTGGGCATGAGTGGACACGAACCTGGCATGATTTTTAAGCCCCCAGGTCAAGGACTTTAATCAGAGTCAACTATGTGGGAGTACAGTAACAACCATTATGCCATCTGCTGGTCCCCTAGTATTTTTTTTTTTTTTTGAGAGATTTTTGCTACAGGGTGCATGTGCTCACCAGAGAGACAGAGAGAAACAGAGAAACAGAAAGTGAGAAATTGACCCCAGAGAGGGGGGATGGCCATACCATAATCCCTTCTCCATTTTTCTCTCAGGATTTCAGACACACACTCACACGTGCCTGGCATGAGTTTTAGACTGCTGATTCCAGGACTCAAACGATGCTCAACTATGTGGGAGTCAAGTGACATAACCATTATGCCATCTGCTGCATCTGCTTGGCCCCCTAGTATCTTTTTTTTTTTTTATAATTTTATTCATTACAGAAAGTGTGTGTGTGTGTGTGTGTGTGTGAGAGAGAGAGAGAGAGAGAGAGTAAGAGAGAGAGAAACACGCTGAACAGAGTCAGGTCATGCCTTGATCCCCTTTTTCCAGCCCTCTAGCTCATCAGGATCTAGGGCGCGCCTGTACTACAGTGTGTTTTCAAGTTGACTGGGGGATTCCCGATGTGGGGCTGGCCATGTGGCTTCCAGCACTGCGGTCTAGCTTGCTACCGACCATACCCCCAGAATTGCTTTCCTCACTACAATCTCAAACTTCTCAAGGATGGGACCCACTCAGATCAGTAGCAGTGGTTCATGGTAGCAGTAACTGCAGAGGAGGGTGGCAGAAGGAAATAATCAATCAAGTTGGTGGGTGGAAATTCTGCCTTGACTCAATTATTATACATTCTCCAAATATAACTTACAACCTTTTGGGCAATATTTACTTCATTACCTAACTTGAAGAATGTATGTCCTCCCAGTGGAATTTCCTTAATGTCAGTTACTTGTTCTTGGTACTACAAAATGATTCTGTGTTCTTGGGGACAATGATCATTTTCAATTTCCTTTTTATGTTTGTTTTGTTATGAGAGCCTTAGTGATTCAGTCCGGGGTGATTGGGACAGAAGAGGGGGTTCCTTGGCTAATGAACGGGACTTGGGAGGCAGAGGACTTATCTTTATGTTCATAAAGAGTAAAATTCAGAGTGCGGTTGATTTTAATGCCAGCAGGGCTGGAGAGGCCCAGGGCAGCTCTAGTTTGGGGTGAGCACCATCAGTGAGCTAGGGTTGCTTCAGCATCTCACCGTGGGTGTGCGTGAGCGTGTGTGTGTTTAGTCCCCACCCCTCCCTGTCCCCTCGACACTACCCTTCACCTCCATCTCTGCGTGACTGTATTAATAGAAGGCAACAGTTCACATACTGGCGCTCAGACTCCAGTGAGAGGCTAGCGATATCTTGGCAGGTGGGCAAGTAGCAGGGAGATGGGTGGGGGAGTGGGCGGAGGCATCGTCGAGTGGCGTTCAGGCTGGCCAATAGCAGTTCGGGGAAGGGGCGGCGGGGGGGGGGGGGGGGCGGGCAGGCAGGCG